CGCAGTCTCGACCCGCGACGCCCGGCTGGGCCAGCGGGCAGCCCCAGGCGATTCCCGGAGCCCCCTCCCCTGATGGGAACTTCGCGGAGACCGCGAAGCTGCTGTTGGGAGTTGGAGAAACTTTGGAGAAAGAAAAAGCCAAGGAAGCTGGAGTCCTCCCCTGGGCCCGACAGCCCTGAGTCCAGTGGGACTCAGATGCCTTCTCGGGGCACCGAGATAGAACTGGGGACCCCGCGCACTGGCTGGGAGGCGGGCTTGCTGGCGCCGAGTTTCGGGTCGGGGTGGCAGGGTCAGCCCTGGCTTAGTCCTGGTAGGATGGGCACTGAGGGACGCGAGAGCTGTGTCTTCCCCGACGGCGGCTTGATGCATCGTAGGGATCTTTCCTATGTGGCACCTTCCATCTTTGTCTCTTCTGTTTTGTATAAAATAATAATGACAATAAAAGGCGGGAGGGAAAAAATGCCTACATTCTCTAAGAAAAAGCCCAACAATGCCAAAATATTAAGGGAGTGTAATGCTGGCGGTATGTTAAGAGAGTGGCTTTCAAACTTTCCTACTTGATGTTGCTGGCTTTGGTACAATTTTTAATTAAGAAAAGTTACATAAATCTTTAAAAAGAAGATATTCACTTTCACACATACTAGACAGCAATAATTTTTTATGCGAGCATGTTATTGCCTTATAAAATATTATGCTGGTTTTGGCTTCTACATCAAAAGCGTCAAGTTTTAGAATCAATCACTTCGTGCTACATGGTGCCTTCTTTTTGGAAGTGAAATCATTCATGTGTGGGATTCCCCCTAATCACCGCTTTCTATGTGGTGGAAAAGATAGTTCAATCTCTGCATCCACGGAATTACTGTAAAGGAAGCCACTCAAGGTGGCTTTAAAAGGACTTTGAGGCTAGCTACCTGAATCACTGTCATCTTAACATTCTATTGGCCTTATCATTGAAAAGAAACATACAAACTAAAGTTTAAAATGCAGGGAGTTGTATTTAAAAAGTTTGAAAGGAAAAAATAAAGACATAAACACAAAGTATGCATAGAAATGTTAATCTTCTCCCCCTGATGTACATGACCAAATATCTTCTGCTCTACTGACAAACTGGACTGCACTACTGGATAGTCTGCTTGGACCCAAATGTAAAAAAGCTGATGTAATTTTTTCAGAGAGGGGCACCTGCAACATTTAAGATAGTCAGGCTTGTTTTCATCATTATAGATAAAATTTGGGGTCATCTGAGCTATGGAGTATGTAATACCTTTATTTTTAATTTAAGTATGTAAATATGGAGTTATTTTAGTAATTTTAGATTTAGTACTGGCAACATGATTATTCTCATAACTTAATAATTGCGTGCAATTACCAATTGGCTGCCTGTTAAAATGCTAACATAATATTTTGATTCTTAAGATTTCATATCTAAAGATCAACTATTTATTAAAAATAAGAAGGCTTTTATTATTACTTTTTTTATTTTTTAATTTTTTATTGTTGGCTGTTCAAAACATTACATAGTTCTTGATATATCATATTTCACACTTTGATTCAAGTGGGTTATGAGCTCCCATTTTTACCCCATGTACAGATTGCAGAATTACATCAGTTACACATCCATTGATTTACATATTGCCATACTAGTGTCTGTTGTGTTCTGCTGCCTTTCCTATCCTCTACTATCCCCCCTCCCCTCCCCTCCCCTCCCCTCTTCTCTCTCTGCCCCCTCTACTGGCATTCATTTGTCCCCCTTGTATTATTTTTCCCTTTCCCCTCACTTCCTCTTGTATGTACTTTTGTATAACTCTGAGGGTCTCCTTCCATTTCCATGCAATTTCCCTTCTCTCTCCCTTTCCCTCCCACCTCTCATCCCTGTTTAATGTTAATCTTCTTCTCATGCTCTTCGACCCTACTCTGTTCTTAGTTACTCTCCTTATATCAAAGAAGACATTTGGCATTTGTTTTTTAGGGATTGGCTAGCTTCACTTAGCATAATCTGCTCTAATGCCATCCATTTCCCTGTAAATTCTATGATTTTGTCATTTTTTAATGCAGAGTAATACTCCATTGTGTATAAATAGAAGGCTTTTATTATTTAAAGGATATTTTAGATACTTTCACCTTTTAATCAACTTACTCCAAGTCTCACATATTTTCTCCTAAAACACATAGAGCAACTACAGTTCTTGAAACAGTGACAGGTATATGCTTGTTGAATGAATACAGACTGCAGTATGTGCTTGCACAGTGAATTAATGTCTATGTCTTACTAGACTTCATGCCTTGGAAAACAGACACATTCTCTCATTAGCAAAATGTTTGGCACACATTGATATTTAGTGTGTTTCATTTGATAGAGAATCTCTCTCTCTCTCTCTCTCTCTCTCTCTCACACACACACACACACACACACACACACACACCCTCCATGCACCTCAACAGTTTTTAAAATGTGGATATTAAATCTAATTAGCATATATACAGCTTTAATTTTTAAAATTCAGCTAGGAGTTGAGAAAATACATGCATGTTGAAAGAAGCAAAGGTACATATAACATATATTCCCATGATAACTCTGCATTCTTAAAGGAGATTTGTAAAGAGAAAACAGAACATGATTTTTTTTTTTTAAGATTGGTTTTATACTGCTTTGTTTTTTCAGTCTCATTTTCAGAAAGAAAGAATTAAGTGGAAAATTTTTTTTTGAAGTTATATAATTAGCAATTTATTCCAAAAGGAGCTGAGGGATTTCAAACAAACTTTTCTTGGAAACACTTTTGTAAGTTATTCAGATAATATTCCAGTCTCAAATACAAACCAAGTACACTGTATAACTCTAAAGTCAGTTGATACTTTTTAAACAGTTATCTTGGTTTCACACTTAAGAAAAAAAAAACTGAAGTATCTCTTTGAGTAGTTTTCATTTCTTTTTCATTGCTGTTTGTTTAAAGGTGTGCATGTGATCTTGGAGCATTCATTTAACTTTGTAAAACACAATGTCATTTTGTTTTAAAGTTAGAAAGTTGAAAAATGGGTCGGAAAATATATATTTTTTGGTCAGTAAAAGTAATGCTTGCCATATTTTATACTTAAATCACTAACAATTTCATTTACATATACATTATTCTCTTACAGTTCTACTTTTAAATCTTTAAAAAATATAGAATAAAGAGCAAAGCTCCAACTTGAATACATCCAATTTCAAATACAAAGTAGGCACCTGATATTATGTTTGGTCAGAAATAATACAATTTAACTCATGGGCATTGTTAATGACAGATACTCAGACTAGAGAGTTTAAAATAATTTGCATGTATTTGAATTCAAGTTTTTTTGACTTTGTAGTATCCCATAATTTAGACTATGTTAGTAAGTTAATTTTTTTTCATTATTGAGCTTTAAAAAATACTTTTGAAGTAGAAAATATGAAGTTGTTACTAAAAATGGCAGGCACAGTAGTTTAGGAGCCTCAATTATTTGTTTAAAGACTGAAACTAAATATGGAACATTTTAGTTTTAAGGGGATTTTTATTTTCATAATGCAACAAGGAACTGAAAATAAAATTGCAAAGGTTTAGCAATTTTAATTATTTACTTGGTGTTCCCCCTACATCTCTAAAAAAGAACACACAACAACTTTTACTTGGAGTTTATTTTAAAGGACTTGTTCTTTTAAGAACATGTAGAGATCATTGTGAAATGTATAGCTTACAGCTGAGTGAAGATATTGTATCACTTGCTTCTGAACTGCAGAGGAAAAGACATACAACTACTCTGGGGGATATCAGGAACTCCACTAGACACCCCTTTCCCTTTCTCTGATTGCTGGTCCATTCCACAACTAATTTGGGAGCCCCATAAAATGTCAGGTCTTCACCAGGGAGCATAGATCAGTGTGAGATCTCAAAGATTATCATAGAGGACTCACTGCTAATGTGAGAACCAGCTAAATTTGCATGCTCCCTTCTATTGAAGAAGAGGTATCAAGGATATCCTGTCTTGGCACTACCCAGCAGCTGTCTCTGTCTATCTGAACATTTGACACCTGGTGAAATTGTAGTTTCTGATGGAGCAATATTTAAAGTTGACACCTGTCATTGAAACATTTGGTATATAGTTTTCAAAGACAATCTAGAAACCAGTGGTAGACTAAGTATAGTATTTAATTTTTTTTTTTTTTTAAACTGGGTAAAAAAGTTTAAGTTGTGTAAACTAGGGAAGTCTCACTTTCCAGGTAGAGATTCTCTCTCCCTTTCTTTTATTATAAATGTCACTCAGCAATAAAATGAAGCATACATTTAAATGACAAAATATTTAAAATTACATGAAAATGAGGAAACAGCAAAAATTGTTTAATGAGGAGTAAGCGACCAAAGACAGAACTTTTATCATGTTATTCCCATCTCTTCTTTTCCCACTGAATCTCTAGGTGTGCTTATCAAACGCTTTCAATATAGTGTAATTAAGCGTGTGGACATCCTTGTGACTCTCCAGGAATCTTGAAATAAGAAATGCCAGGTATGTCAAAGCTGGGTTAAAAAGGAAAACACTGAGTTTAGGGTTGCATTAACAACAATGTATTTATCAGATTATACACTGTCACGTGAGATTTCTCTTGACCGTCGAAGCTCAGACAACTCCACCGCTGCTCACGTGTTTCGCCGCACTTAAACCAAACTCCCCCCGGTGCGTGGGGGTTCTCTCCGCGCCCTGCCCCGGCCAGTGCCGCATTCAAGACGCCCCGCCGGTCTGGGGCGGGTTTGTCCTCCCCGCGGTCGCCCGTACCACCTGCACCCCTGGCGGGTAGTGACACTCGACGGTGCAGGACCCGCGCCGCGGTCTGACGAGGCTGACTCACCGGGGAACCCCTGCAGGCGGGGTTCCCCCGGGGTTGGCCGTCCAGGCGCTGCAGCCCAGCGCGGGCCTCCCCGACACCGCGGCCGTGACGTCACGCCTGGGACTGGCCGTTGCCGCGAGACGGCCGCGTTCCGGTTCCGGTCGGTTACCCGGGAGACGCGGGTACACAGAAACGGATCCCGTCGGAGGCCGAGTCCTCGCCGCGGTCGCCCACTGCGCGGACTCGCGGGCTGGGCGCTGACGAGCAGCGTCGCCGCGGAGCTGGTCCCGGGCAGACAGCGGCCGCGGCGCCATGAGTCAAAGGCAGGTGCTGCAAGGTAGGGTCGGGGCGGTAGGGCCGGGGCGGTAGGGCCGGGGCGGGCGGGCCGCCCCGACGGGCTGGCGGCGCGAGCACTAGCGACGCGGGCCGCTCCACCGAGTCTCTCTCCCCCAGTGTTCGAGCAGTACCAGAAAGCCCGGACCCAGTTCGTGCAGATGGTGGCGGAGCTGGCGACCAGACCCCAAAACATCGAGACTCTGCAAAACGCGGGTGAGCTCGACCCTCGCCCTTCGCCAGTCACCCCTCGCGCTGGACCCTCGGCCTGGCAGTACCCGTCGCCCCTGTCCTCTCCCAGCGCAGATCTGCGGTCGCTAATCCCCGCGCGCCCTCGGCTCTGCCTCACCTCTCACAGCCCAGTGCCCTGGCCTTGCCTCGTCCGGGTCTAGGTCCCTCCTCTCCCCCAGCTTCTGGGCATCTCGCTCCCCTATCAGCTGGGGTTTTGGGGGAGGGGTGGGATGGGGACGGGAGGACCCCGTTCCTAATTTCCTCCAACCCACTGCAAAGACTGTGGAAGAATTCATTCTCCTTAGCAGGTCTTTGCAGGGTGAGTTCGAGAGGGCGAAGCTGCTAAAATGGTGTGAGGGGGGCTGATTTTCTTATTTCCATTTTCATTGCAATCAGGCCAGTTGTTAGGTTGCATGGAGACCTTACGAAATGTCTGGAACTTATTTTACGTGGATGAGAATCTACCCTAATCAGATAGATCCGTTTTATCTGGGTGCAGTTCATGTCATCCTGTCTTGACCACCTTTGATTTCCTCACAGTAAAGAAATTCCAAACTGTTTTACGCAGTATTTCTGTCTTGCATTAGTGAAAGAAAAATGATATGCTTGAATCTTTTCTTAGAGAAGACCAGACTTTGAGAATCCTTACGGTGCTCTCATTCCACCCCCGCAGTCAGAAGTTAAGGGTGGGGGTGTGGGGGTAGGGGTGGGGAAGGATTTGCTTCTTATCTATCAACAGACGCGGTTGGAGGAGATAAAGGTGGCTCTCCTCTGTCTTTCCGTCGTTTTGGATTAAAGATTTCACCACCAATTGAACTTTTAAGTAACAATTTATCATTTCTATGTCATCAGAAATCTTGAATTTATAGGATGTGACTCTTTAATTTAAATTAACACATCATTAAAAATAAATTGAGAACATATTGGCAAAGCAAGAATATAATGTTTACTCTGGGTTTTTTTTTTGAGGGAAATTACTATTACATCTATGTGGTAATTTCTTTTGTCACTGGGATTTTGATATTTATTCCTTGGGTCTTTTGGGGGAAGGTGTATTTAGAATAGAGAAAGTGTATTTTTAACCTTTAAAAAACATTTTAGTTTGAGATAATTATAGATTCACATGCAGTTGTATGGAATTATACAGACCGATTAGATTCCCTGGTACTCTTGTTTTAATTTCCCCCAATGTAAATACTTTACAAAACTGTAGCAATATATATCACAACCAGGATGTTGACACTCAAAAAAATTCATTGAAGTTATTCAAGTTTCCCCAGTTGTATTTAAGTATTTGTGTGTGTGTTTCATTCTATACAATTTTATTCCATGTGTGTGAACCACCACCATAGTCAAGATATAGAATACTTTTCATCATTACAAGGATTCCTTGTGTTGTCCATTTATAACCACACTCACTTCCTGCCATCCCTAACTCTGGGAAACCATTAATCTCCATTTCTAAAAATTTTGACATGTCAAAACTGATAATCTTTTGTTCAGTAGTTGTTTCATGTAGTTTAATTTTCTTTATTCTGTGTGTGTGTGTGTGCGCGCGTGCGCACGCATGAACATGCCCTCAGACTCCTCAAAGTACCCAGAACAATACTTTACACATAGTATTTCACATATATAAGCAAATTAGGACATTGTACATTTTTAAAATGCAGTTAGTTACTTTTGAAGTTTTTTTTTTTTTTTTTTTCCTCTCTCAGTCCTACTCAGTGTCCTTTGTGAATGGACACTATTTACAAAGACTTAATTTCTGGACAATATGTATACAGGCATATCAAAACTTTATTTTTTAAAAAATGGGAAAATAATTGATGTTATTTTAGAAATTTAATACTGAACTATATATGTAACACTCAAGATATATAGTACCATCTTTTAGTATAGTAGTGCAAGTTACCTCTTTCTGTAAGAGTACAATATAGAGTATGTAATGGGATTTATTTATCCATCCATCTATCCTTTCTTTTTTTGAGACAGGTTTTGCTATGTTGCCTAGTGTGGCCTCAAACCCCTGGGCTCATGACCTTCATGCCTCAGCCTATGAGTAGATGGAACCACCACACCTAGCTTATATTATGGAATTTAATTCACACTGGCAGGCTAAGTGATCACCAAAGTATAAGTGGGTTGAAATTGACATTCTACACTACGGTCTGGCTTGTGAAGAAATAGAATAAAAAAGGAATATAACAATGTTTTGAAATTGTCTTCCTTTGACTGCTATCTTGATGGCATATTAAGATTTTTTTCTTTTCCTGAGGAACTTATTTTTAAACTAGATTCAATTTCAGCATTCCTTTAGTAATTTTAAATAGAGACCGATCATGAATATACTCACATATTTGTTCTTTTAATTAAAAAATAATCTGCAAGTTTATAATGTAAGCTTTTCTTTCTTATCAATGGACTTAACCATTCAAATAGTTTATTCTTTTAAAAATTACTATGGATTTAAAAATGCTTTTGAATGAGCCACAATATGCGTGTATCAATTATATATTATAATCAAGCTTTTTTTTTTTTTCAGGTAAGTGCCTTCATTTTGGTAATGTACCAATGCATTTTACTCCTGACTTTGACATATTTTTTTCCCTCCTTTTCCCTTAATATACTGTTTAAGTAAACATGTATCATGGATCCAGTATAACATGGAAAATGCTTTCAATGCAGACATCATGATTAAACAATAATTATCTTAAGAATATTGAATCATTGTATGTAAAAGAACTATTAAAGCTGAATATTATCAAAGGGGTTCATTGCATTTTTAATTTCCAGTGTTTTTCATTGTGTTTTTGATGTGCTAATGAGAGAATTTGCCTTTTTTAATACTTATTTACCAAAGCAAACAAAATGTTGCAGGATCTGTTCTTTAGAGAGTTTGGAAAATAATAAGTTGATTTCTAAGTCAAAATTTTTACTCCAGAGAACTGTGTACAAATGTCTATAACCTTGAATTTTTCTCCCTCATTGAAGTTCATTCCTTCTAAATCAAAAGAACACATATAAAAAAAGATTAAAATGTTTAATGTTTATTATAATATCTCTTTATGTACCCTCAAACCCTGTATGTTTGAACCATTACATCTTGTAGCTATTTAAAAATGAATTTTGATACTTCCTTTCTCTGAATAATCAGCAACACATGACTATAATAGTAGAGACAATACATTGTTACTTTAACCAATTGTAAAATTTCAGCAATTGGAGGTAGTTGGTTAGTTTTAAAATATAAGAAACATGTTTTCTGGCATATTGGAATACCAGGCCCCTCTGAGGTCTGTTTAGGAGGTCTTCTAAAGTAAGCTCTATAAGTTCCAAAAAATTATTTTTAAACTGCTTAGCTACATAAACTTTTTCTGAACCAACTATTTATATAAATGGGGGGTAAAGTTCTATAATATTTTACATATAACCTATAGAAAGCAGTAAAACATGGCAAATCAGTACTTATACACATTTTTAGAAGACTAGGAATACAGAAGTATGTACAAAATTTTAAAATATGCTTCTATATGAGGTTGTTGTGTTGACTGAGGCAATTAGTAGGTTCAGGATTTAAGAAAATAACAAATACACATTGTTGATATAAGTGATTTTTAAATTGCAGGTATCTGGAGCAGGGCAAAAATCTTCAGATTATTTAATACTTTGATATTCTGTGAGAAGGAAAAGCCCCTAGTTAGCATTTATAATGTATTTAAAACATATCTTGCTATGTACCTGTACCATGATTCTTTTATAAAACATGCTGTACTAAAGGATATTGCAACTGAAAATTATCAGTGACTTTAAAAAACTTAACCAATCATTTGATGTGTTTTGTCAATATAAAAGGAGTCTTAAAATTGTGAATATAAAAGATAATTAATTCAAAGCACTTTTTCTGAAAGATAGGGATAGAGAAGTTTGTTACTTATTTTTAAGTGGAAAACATTCCAGGGAGCTGTAAAAAATTATGAATTTGTAGCTAGATGTGGTGGTACACACCTGTAATCCCAGCAGCTTGTGAAGCTGAGGCAGGAGCCCTAGTTCAAAACTAGCCTGAGCACCTTAGGGAGGCCCTAAGCAACTTAGACCCTGTCTCAAAATGAAAAACTAAAAAGGGCTGGGGATATGGGTCAGTGGTTAAATGCCTCTGGTTCAGTTCTTGATAAACAAAAAACCCTAAAAATATGTCTTAAAAACCAAAGATTTTTCAGAGTTTTTTTGCAGTGTTCCAAACTACTGCTCCTTGATGGATATTTATCTGTTTTATTATTTAAGCATTGGACATAGTAGAAGATAATAGAGCAAGGGCTAGGATCTCAGTGCATTCTTAACAAAAATTAATCAATTAAAAAATAATCCAAGCTATAAGTGAGTCATAAATAGAAGGTGAGGCCTAGAAATTGCAAGTTTTGTGGGTTAAATTTAAATGTTGTGGGGCTGGGGCTATGGTTCAGTGGCAGAGTGCTTACCTAAAATGTGTGAAGCACTGAGTTTGATCCTTAGCACCACATAAAAATAAACAAAGGCATTCTGTCCATCTATAACTACAAAAAAAATTTTTTTTTAAATTTAAATGTTGTGAGTTTATTTTTTTCAAAAATGTTTGAATAATTACCTAAGTATTCCATAATTCCACTTTACATTTGACTGTTCTTTCAGTGCCTTTGTGCTTCTGCCTGGAACTTTTCCTTATACTTCTTTCTCTTAACTAAATTCTAACCATACTTTATGGCTCTTTTTAGATGTTGATTACCCAGGGAAGACTTCCCTGAACTCTCACAGTGAGTTAAGTCTCTGGATGTATGCTTCCCTTGCATCTAGTAGTTCTCCTTCATAGTACTTAGCACAACTAAAATTAGTTTCTATTTTGCCACCCCCACCCCACCCCCCACAGTGGTGCTGGAAATTTAGGCAAGCATTTGATTACTGAGTCACATCCCTAGCCCCAAATTACTTAGTTTATGTTTTCTTCAATAACT